CAAAGACTTCCTCGACACTCTGGTTCTGGATTATCCTCAATGTTAAAATGAAATGAAGAGCATACTCTCCATATAATAAATGTGCTATGCACGTTATTTAGACGTCGATGCATTTACAATACTTTGAAAAAAATTGTTCTGTTCGCAGGGAAAATTCCACGTGGCTCGAACGCGTTAAAATAGAAACAGATGCCAGTGTAATACCAAAAGCTCAAAGTCTATCGGTTTCCTGTCTCCGATCGCGAGTTCCCCCGGTTCTCCCGAGTTGTTAAGACAGTGGGCTGGAAGACAGAGGAGGAAAAAAAGAGGGAAAGTAGGTGAAGAACGGAAGGAAGTGTGAGACCGACGGTGCTACTGGTGGCGCGACATCATAAGGGAAGGAGAAAGAGAAGGAAAGCCGGCTGGGGGACGCAAGAAAGAACGAACGGGACCCTCGAGCTTTGGCTGACGTCGCTTTACGTGCTGGCATAATGGCCCTTGTCTTCTCCGCAGGTCCGAGTTCTATTCAAGCCTGAGGCGACTCTGCAACCACTGTGCAACAGTGACGTGATTCTTAAATCTACTTAGGCAAGCCCAGTTTCTTTTCCACCGTTCCTGTTCCGTTTCACGCCGCCCATTGTATTCCAGTTTTCCAATTCTCCCTCCGCAACACGGCGTTTCCCAAGTTTCCCCCGACACCGTTTAATCGAATTTCCCGCCGCATTCTACACGCAGGATAAACGCGAAGGAAGATTAATGGCCGAGAACAGGCGGTTGTTCGATCATTCGCAACCAGGATCGCCTTTTGTTCCCTCTAACTGCACCGTTTGTGCTCGTTAAAATGATTTTCTGCTTCTCAAATAATAGATATACGAGTTGATCTTACATCTTATGGACCTTAATCTTATTAGGTGACTAAATTTTTCGGCGAAAAAAAAATTTTCAAATCGTTTTAAAAAAATTATTTTCGGTTATGGGGGGCAATTACAATCACTTTTGGTCAATGCACGTACCCTCGAAATCCTACGCAGTTTCGAGAAAAAAAATTCTTTACCGAAAATATTACTTGTAATCAGAAATGTTTCCCCAAAATTTCCACAACCCCTACAATGGTAAATATATTTTCTTGGTCTCCCACTGGATCGCTGACCTTGATGTCAACCTTATAGTTGGCCACCTATGACCATAATCCATCCATTATTTACCATCGAGACTCATTAAACTGCGTTTGTTAGAGAATTAAAGTGTTTCTATACCTCGTATCTTCTAATTCTCAAGTTAAAAAGGAGTCGTACCACCCTGGTAAATAATACAAACCTGTTGTATGGATCCAGTTTTTTGTAATTTCCAATTTTCAACGCGAAGCATATTTCTGTTCGCGTAAAAGCGTCCCAGATCCCGGTCTCCGTGTTCCCGGTTGCTTTTCGTTTCAGGGGTTCGTTAAGAAGCTCTCGCGATCCGTTTACACGCACGCACAAGCAGTCGTAAATACGCGCCGGCAATCCGATCGGAAGAATTCACCGGTTCTGTTCCTCTTTTTCCGCCCCGCGAGCCTTTCTTCGTTACATCCCCCATCGGCTCGCGTCGCGAAATCGAATCTGTTCCACGTTCGTTCCCTATTCCCGGCGTAATGAGATCCTCGGATTGCCAGCGGATCGTAAAGCCCCCGGTTCGTCGCGTAGGAGTGCTGTAAACGACGCTTCCAACGTCGTGTATCGACGTCGATGTGAAAAATTCAGCCGCGAAAAGAAACACGCGGCTCAGCAAGTTCGAGAAATCGCGGAAAAATCGAAATCCAAATGCATGTATAATTTCAATAAATCGTTCTTCTTTGTAATATATGCAGTTTAACTTGCATAAAAAGCTCGAGAGCAACCGCATAAATCGCTGATTCAACTTTCCCTTAATGATATATTCAGGGTAACCCTGTCCAAAACATTCATAGCGTTTTGCTTCCCGTGGCTTTTCATTTCCAATGCATATGTAACCGCTTTCGGGAGTCGGAAGTTATGTTTGTCCATTTAGTTTTACGACTGCTCTTATTGGGACCCGACGCCCACATTACGCCAGAGTCGCCTTATATTATTCGGTCCCTTCGCGGTAAAAGGAGTTCGCCGACGATGGGTCGGCCGATTCGCGCATTCCGAAGGACATTCGTCAACCGTCCACGACGACAAAATGGATATCCGAGGGCACTTCGCGAGCGGATAAGGGGACCGATCGTTTTTCAGGATCACCTTCGTCCGTGGCGTTATGGGGAATCATTGATATCGACGCTTACGTATACGCGTGGATCCGGACAAAGGGGCGGAAGGATCGAGAGATCGTTGTTCGGGCATCGCGGGCGCAAATATTTTCGGGACACGTTTTCCCTTATCTTCTGAGAGTTGTCGCCTCCGCGAAAGTAAAAGCTGTTCCGTGTCGTCGCGATTAGCGACGGGATCAAGCATTATTAGGGCGTCGCGGAAAATATTGTCCACTTTGGTCGCTGCTTGCCTCCCGGAAACGTCGGTTCGGGAACCTGTTTCGGGATCAAAACGAAATTAAACGTATATTTTTCTCAATTTTAACATTATGTGACTTTTCAAGAATCGTTTAGAGTACCTAAAATTTTGTGAAATTGAATCGTACACAAAAATTGTTGTTTTCATATTTTTGAGCTAGAGCATTATACTATCCTTTCGATGAAGTAAATCGCTATACGAACGCTTCTTACACCCGCTGTAAGTATTTCGGGAGACAATAGTAGCGCTTTCAAGGAAACTAAAACCTGGATGGCATAGATTGAAACCGTCTATAAGTGCTTTAGGAAACAAAGGCGGTACTTTCGAGTGGAATCGAGCCCTGATCGACCAGGTTCAGAAACTTTTTACAAGTATCTCCCTAAAAATTTTACGTTCCTTCGTACCCTTTTCTTTTCTACTATCTTTAAAGTCGACGATGGAAACCGGAAAATGGTTAAAAAAGAAAGAATGCAAATTAAACGCGATATCTGTTCCGAACTCTGTATCTTCGACCAGTGTAAACAGTATAAAATAGAATGAAAGTTCCCAGGGGTCTGATCCACATTTCTGGCAATTACGAAAGGGTTTTTTTTTTTTACTCGGAGTTAGTAATTAAGGATTTAATTTCAATTCTTTTAAAGTGGCCCGAATTGTCTCAACCGACCCTATTCCTTTAATATTTCAAACGCAAGAACAAGAAAGTTCTTAGTATCGCGAAGTTATCCGAATTTCTCCAACGTTTTAAACGCCCAGCTGACCTTATTATTAACGAAAGTACAAATTTAATTTCGAAGCTGGCTTTAATGTAATCACACCGTATCTCGGACCTTTAAACTTTTGTAATGGGGCTTTATTAAAATTGAAGTAATGCCTGGTAGCTCCCACAACAACAGAATATGAAACAAAGGATCTATAATACTTACGGTTCGCTGAAAAGAACAAGTGTTCCAATTATTGTTTCGTATCCTTTCAATTGTATTTATCCTCGAACGATTTAAATAAATATTTAGTTAGTCTAGTTATCAGCTTTGTAACAGTTTTACTTGTCGAAAATGCTGGCACGGTTTGATTAAAAAATTCCAGAATGCCCTGCGCGTATATCGTTATTTAACATTTGCTTCTTGAACCTTCATCGAAGCCTGAAATTCCTGCGCGTTATCGGTGAAAATGGAAAATTAATTTCGAAGTTAACTTCAATCTGCCGCGCACGATATGTGAATTATTAATTAATTTTTATTAAAAACAGCCACGAGCTTCATATATTCTTTTATATCGCACGTGTATTGGTTCTAACTATAAAACGTATCTGTTTATAAGAAAGATCGATGGCTCGTTTTTTGTTAAATTTATGTTTTTATTTGCTACAAACAGTTTAGCCCTTATACAATATTCGCGTAGAAAAATTCCCACTGGATTTAGTATGTCCGTGCATTATTTCTGTACTATGTTTTTTCGTTCCTGAAACAGTGTACTTGGATATTTTCAATTTCCCAGCAATCTCAAAAACTTGACAAGCCTTTGTATCGCGATTCCTTTTGCTATTAAGGAAGTTTCATATTTTTGGGTAATTTTATAAAAAATCAATGACAAGAGGCGTTGTTTCGTTTGAGATAAAACAGTTTATTTCTCACAAGAACGTTTGCAATTACATTTTCAGTGAAAGTATAGAGTCGTACGGACGCTGGTTTCGAAAGAAATCGAATCGAAGAATGGTATCGATATCGTGACTCGAATCGATTGGCGTTCGAGGTCCGCCATATTTAAATGTCCGCGATACATAGACTGGTGGTTCCATCTCTGGTTGCCCCTAGCAACCAGCAACTGCGTTCCCAGTAGCGGAGGCCAATATGGTCAGACACTAGTAGATGCGTCGCGGACCCGGTCGGACAGTTATCCAAAACATTAAACGCGTCGCCGGAATTGGATCAAAGCGCCCGAGAAATCGGGATTCCCCCCTTTTAGGGAACGTTCTCGATAAATTTGATCGCGTTCGTTTGTTTCCATCCAGGCGGTCCGTCGCGTTCCCAAGGGCTCTCGTCGAGCGTCGGGAAACCACCCCGGGGCTCGTTATTACATAATTAAGGACAGCCGTGAAATCCGGGTCATTCGAGCGGAAAGATTCGAGGCGCAACAACGCGCGGAGGTCGGTCGTTTCGTTTCTTTCGGCTAATGCGTTTTCATCAGCCGATAGAGCCCCCGTCGAGAAGCGTCGCGTATCTCGCCCCCCCCTGTTTCTCGCATCAAAGGATCTGCCTTTATTTCAACCCCTTTGTGTGTGTGTGTGTTTTTTTTTCTCTCCCCCTCGTCCCTTTCCCTCTCTGTTCGGCCGTGGCGTCGTTCGCGATGCACAATCGAGCGGCAATATTATCGGCGTCCGTGCACAATCCTCGTTTCTGGCGACCGACTTAGCCGCCGGAGTTCGCGCAGGCGTCCTCCAGGCGTCGGCTCGATGACGTGTCTGTAGGCAGAGCAAGGGGCAAGGGGGTCTGCCAGCAAATCAATACGTATATGTCCGCCAGTAACCGGCCAGTAGGGGCTCATCCTTCGCGTGAAACGTATCGGGTACGTTCGCCGAGCCGACGAGAATTCGAGAAGACCGAGCGAGTATCGCCATCGACCGAGCCGCAGACGTCGTCGTGGTCGTTCCCGTCGCCCGGGTGACACGCCGCTCCCCGTTCGAGAGAAAGGAAGAAGGACGAGCCGGACCGCTGGGGCCACGGTGGTTTCCCGTGCACGCGAACCCCGGAGGATATCGGCCCAAGGCGCAGCGAGAGAGGTAACTGACCCTGTGCAACAGCGCGAACGTTCGGCGCTGGATCAACCGACCGCTTCGGGAGACCGGTGACCTCGCCAACCGAAGATCGATCCGCGGGCAGCAGCAGCAGCTTCTCTCCTACGTGAGATCCACCCATCCGCCTTGTCCCGTCGATGTCACCACGGCGATCCCTGGAATAGGCCCGAACGAACCGTACCGCGACCAACCACGAAGCGGACCGCGACACGAACCGGAGAGAGCTAGCAAGAGATCTCGTTCGTTCCACTGGCGAGTGATCGCCCGGACTTTGTACGAAACGCTCGACAGGAGCTGAGTAGCGTCCCGGTACCACGATCGTGTTACCAGGCTCGCGTAAGGCCGTCCGGCTATTGGGACGTCTGGTGGGAGCGCGTGATTGCTCGTTCCTCACGGATTTCCCGAAACACCCCCAAAACGGCAACCCGTCGTCGTCGTGGTGCTGCCGGGGCCCCGCCGTTAGCCGCGAGAGATCGCGAGAAGGGAGCTTGGCAGAGTCGGACGGGCGATCGGCCAGAGGATCGGCCTCCTCGTGCGCGACCGGCTCCACCGCCGCCACCTACGCCGCTTACTGGCGGCCCAGTGAAATGGAGGAGAAGTCCTCGGCTCGGTTCTCCGAGTACCTGTTCGCCAAGATGGACGGGCAGGACGTCTCGGCCTCTCAGGGCCCCCGTAAGGTGACCGCCGACACCAGGAAATTCATGCGGGAGAACCTCCTGCTCGTCGTCACCCTCTCCGGCGTTCTCTTCGGCGTGATACTCGGTGAGCATTATATCTGGCCCAACAGAGGTCACTCCCCGGTTGACCGACATTTTAATACACGCGAAATTATACCGTAAGAAATCGAAACGTGCACGTCTTCGTACACGAAACAGTATTAACCCTTTCCACTCGGCTGCCCCCTCTGAAGGGACAAAGAATTTGAATGTACCCTCCAAGAACACGTTTACTCGGAGTATTTGCTATCTATTTCATAAGAAAGCGTGCTTGAGATAATAGAAGAAAAGTTTCCGAGTGCAAAGGGGTAAATCATCCGTGCAAAGTAGTTAGTTCGATTTTGCGAATCGATGCTATCAGTACACGTGGTCAGAGGATGGTAAAATTCAACGAAAAAATTAACATTCGATCAAACGATCTTAGGTGTCTTGCACCGATTGCTGCGATCCCGAGCAGAGGTAGCCAAATGTCGAGATACCTACTTACGTTGTTTCATTTATCGTCGCACTTCCCAACGCGATGACTAGATTGCGGATCTTTATGAAGTGCTTTGCAGAGGGTTCTCTCAACCCCTATAATAATTCATATTTTACGAATTCCTAAAATTCTTGCATATTGAATCCATTCTCTAGTGTTCTGAGATACAAAATTTATCATAAACGCATAAGCATTCGCAATCTAACGCAACATATAAGATCGTTGAATTTATCTCATCATTTATAACCAATATTGAATTTTTAACACTCTCTCTCAAATTTATTTTTCTATTTTAGTCACCGCTATAACAGGTCGTTGAATCGAAAATATTCCTCAAATGGTCTCGTTTTATGCCAAAATTATCCCAGTCAAGAGGCGAGTTTTGCATGAAATTATTAAAGGTCTTTTCTTCTTCAGCTCCACGCCACTTGCATCAGCTCTAAAAACAGTATTACAGGAAGTAGGGAGGATCGGCTCTAGCACATTTTATCGATTCCGTACCACCATGTTTACGTTGTCGTACAGGAGTCACAGTAATAAATAGTTGATAGACAAATCTTCCTAAATGAGTATTTGTTGAAAACGTGTCTCATTAACAGGTGGGTTCTGCGTTAAACTATTCATTTCCCGTTCGTCTCGACTTGCATCAGCTTGTCGAACAGCGCTGCGCGGCGGAGAGAGGATCGATCCAGGAATTATTGGATATTAGCATTTAGCATTAGCAATTCCACAATTATCGAGCATAGAATATTTAGAAATTTCCTGAATAAGCTGACTCCGGTCTATTATTGTTCCAAATGCAATTATCCAGTCTCTTTTGACCGCGAGGACTTTTATATAAATTAATTTGCAGCTTCTCGAGTTATTCAATCTCGGTGTGCAACCGAGAGTCACGTGCAAGTGGGATTAGGGTTGAGCAGCCGTGTCCTGTATGTAATTATTAAAGGTGTTTTCTTCTTCAGCTTGACGCAGCTCGTATCAGGCTGTCGAACGGTATTATAGGGAGAAGGGTAGATCAGTCGCAGGATAAGGGGAATGTGGTATTACGAGCATAATCGTTTTATCGATTCCATACATCAAAGTCGTACGAATGTTATTGCCCGTGCATCACTGCAGGAAACCGTTCGGTATCAAATTTTCACAAAGTAGCGTAACCATCCTAATTAAAAGCCGGGTCCCACGTGAAATTATTAACATATTAAACGCAAAGCCGATCCCCGGAGACCGACGCTAATCTCTTCTTTTGAGCCTCGATCCTTTGAAACGGACAGCATTAAATTTAGAAAATAATCCACGCGATATTAAAAGATACGTTTTTGAAACGTTTTAGAAATTAAATTTTCCTTTATACATGTTACAAAACTAACGATTTTCATAATACAATTTTACTTTGAGCCTACCCTGAGTGTATCGTACATGGAATAACAAAATAAAATTAACTTTGCTTCGCGCAACTAGCATCGACGCGTCGAACAGTATTACAGGGAATAGGGAAGATCGTTTCTTCGATCGGGGGAACGTGGTACCACCAGTACAATCATTTTATCGACTCCATCCATCAAGGTAATGTGTACATTGTTGCCAGGACATCGTTGCAATAAATCGTTGCGCGATAAATTTTCATAATGGGGTTTATTCGTTGGAAAACTTTTCGATTAAAAGACTATTAAGGGTGTCTCCTTCTAATCCCGTTTGCACCAGCTCGAATAGTATTTCAATGGAAAAAGAAAGATCAGACGCGCGTCAGGGGGAACATGATGCTCGAAGGACGATTATTTTATCGACCCCATACCTTCAACTCGTATCTATTATTCCCTCGTACCTCTCCGTTGTCGTAACCTGTCACCTTCCCCCTCTATTCAAATAAACAATAACCCTCCAGCTCGAACATCTTTGAAAATGCTTTGAAATTTTTACGTCCAACATATATGATATACAGTTACGCAAGAACCATTTAATTTCACTCAACGCTCGAACGTTTCGTCGTGCAATTTTTAGCATTTCCTTTTTAGAATCTTTTTGTACCACGGCCTCGTTCTCTTACCCTAAATTGTATATTTTCAAGGTTGTATGGTTATAGGACCATTGTACCGAGGAGGGCACGGGAAAAGAGGTCAAAACTTTAGCGTTTGATACACGTTGCAAACTATGCTCGCCAGGCTGCAAATTCGTCTTTAATATCACGCTCGAGCCGCGAATATCGCGACATCAATTCCTTCTGCACACAAACCGAATCTCGCCTCCTCGTTTCTATCTTTCTCGTCGGATTCCCTCGTCGCCATCGCAGCGATTAATCGCTGGACGACAAATCTTCATTGCAGGGCTTAATCCGTTGTAAACATATTTCATTAAGAGCTTTCCTCCCTCGGCTTAATGCCGCTTGTATCAGCTTAATGGAACAATATTACGGAAAGAGGGAAGATCTTAAGCCGAGACATTCGCTTCTTTCTAAAAAGATATATTTCACGTCTGCAATTAGTGTAAAATATGGACAGTGTCGAGTAGGTTTCGTTTCTCCGAATCATTTGATCCAGTCTCCAAAATAAAATAAACTTTTCTCTCAGAGTGTTAAAACATTCGCGTACCACGCGTGAGAATAGCAATCTTTTACGAGGTCGTTTCACTAAAACGCGGTGGCACAGGTCAATTACACTTCGTAATAAACTCGTATCTGGTAATGTGGGGCAAACAGAATCTTGACCTTTTCAATTGCACTTCATAAATTTCAAAAGAAACAATGAATGTGTGGCCTCACAGGCAGACCTAACCGTGACGATCGGTTTTTATTAGGCTTTTACAGAGTGACAGCGCTTGAAATGCTCGAGTCATCGATGCATGGTTTTATGGCTTGGCGGTTAATAGTTTAGCAGTTATTTAACGTTTAAGTTTTATGGGGCATCGCGACCACCATTACCAGAGTCGACGAGACGGTATAAACGCGTGTATGATAAATCCCTTTATCGCGAATTTTATTTTTATTACGTATATTATATGTTAGTTATATTTTATACGGAATTTTCAATGAAAATCACAGAAATTTAATTTAGTATTACCCATATTTGCTAACAAATACAGCCAATTAGTTAAACGTTCGCACTTGTGAATATAACTCTGGTTTTATCGATTAAATGGAGTTCGTACTTTAAAAGAATTCATTGTGTACGATTTGAATGCAAATTGTAAGATATATGAGCCTTTCATTATGAAAGTGGTGTAAGTCCAATTATCCTTGCATCAGGGTACAAAAGGTTTTGCATTTCAATCGACTGAACGATGTCGATAAACGCTAATTGGCACGTTGTGTGCTCTTCGTGGTCGACGATAAGTAAATTCATCCGGAGTTTGAATAATACGATCGTTTCCCGAAGAAAAATCGCGAACTTGCACCAAAGCCATCAAAGCCACGAAATCTTTTTCAAGCGTCTTTGCTCGCCGCCATCTTCGAAACACAGAATTTCCAAAGATTTCCAAGAAGTTTCCTCGAACGACTCTCGAGTATGAATGAAAATATTTGCGAAACGGCGAATATATTTTAACGAAACGAAACTGGGAGAGTAAAATGAAAAATCTTTCGTCGGGCAATGCGTGGAAAACCGAGTCAGGGGTGCGCGACTGCGCAGAATCGCAGCTCGGAGAGAACATTGACTTGTTCCATATTTTTTTCTGGATTTGAGTTTATGCGCGAAAACAAGTCGATACAATATTCAACAACGTTTGAACGCTTTAGCGATTCCTTTCTAGATTATTTCGTTACCCGGCCCTCGAGTAAAATTAGTCTCGCGACCGAGTTTTTGCAACGCGCTCTAATTCAATTTTTAATTTCCACTGCAGCTTGCATCCCTTTCGCGATAAATGCTTCCCTCGTTCTGCTTAGCAACTGAATTCAAATCAACATGTTTTTTTCGTTCAACAACAATCAAGGGTTCGAGCACAAGGGTTTGGCAAGCAACCTGCGTCGCACGAATAACGATTATACGTTGGTTCGCAATTTTTATTAGTACAATGGCGGACATTGGCGCCTCCCCCTCAAAGTGTCAACATTGTTTGATCGGTCGAAACGCAACGACGAGGTGCTACGTTCCCATTGGGTAAACAGATCACCGATATGCCAAGTAAATGTCAATCATACGCGCACGGAGGTTGGAACGAGGGGGAGTGTCATTGTCTTGAGACGTCGACACAGTTCAGGGGCTCTTTCGATCTTTATCCCCGGGATCCCCTCTAAATAGGACGAAAAGATCGCGCGTTACGTGCTCCAGGTAATGGCCGAATACTGCCAAAAGCACGCTACGCCTTCATCCATTATCGGGGGAAGCGTGCCAAGGTCGAGTTCATCCGACACGAAACCGATTTTACTTCCACCGGCCATGGTAACGGCCCCGAATCGATGGTCTATAGACCAGGCCTGTCCGACACAAATGCCCTAAACGGGCCAATGTCTGTGACAAAAAAAAAAAATAACTTACGAGCCACGCAAACCGAACAAAAAAGCCAAGGGATTAATGGCTGCGGGGGCATTTATATCGGGAACGACCGCCTCCCAGAAACTCGCGCCAAGAATTCCGGGCCGCAGCCTACGACACGTTCGATTAATTCACTGGTTCGTTAATAAAATTGCTCGGTATCGATTCGTCGAACTTAACGCATTGTTGGCCCCTGGTCAGCTATTATACGCAAGAGATTGCAAGAGAGAACCAACGGTAATAAATCGTGCAAAGCTTTGTCAATGTTAAGCTCTGAAAACTGGAAAGGGTGGTTTTACTGCTCCTCGCTAGAAACAGAATTAGGGTTAATTGGGTAGCCAAACGACACTATAATTCTGCTGTAAGTCGAGGGACCCAAGAAAAAGTTTTAAAGTAAAAGAAAACTGCAAATAGGTACTCGAGAAGAATCATATGATTGCTAGTGCAGGTCGGAATTGAATCTACGAGTGTCGAGTCGAATTTATCTATCTTGTTCGATGAAATATTCTCTGATACAGTATTCAGATTCTGAAAAATTGATAATTATCCATTTATCATTTAAAATTTTTAGAAAATCTCGACGTCCTCTCGCACGAAAATGTTGAAGCCTCGGTTGCAATTGCGTTTTTGGTCGTCCCCGTTGCATCACGCGGGCAAACGTAACTTGAGTTAATAACGACTGGTTATGCACGATGCTTAAAGCCCGGGGCTTCGTAATCGTTGGATCCATACGTCGTTTCCTTTCTTCGGGTGATTAATTTCGTAAGAAACGGACCGGTGACTCGCGGGCACCGATCTACAGACGAAAGGAATACGTGCCCGCGTACCGTTTGCACCGGTTACATAAAACGTTATACCCTCGTTATCCCGTTAAAAGGTGCCAATCATCGTCGAGAGGTTTCCTTCGAAACTTTCATTTAATTAACCGGCACCCCCGCGGAGTCGAAAGGCCAACCTTGGAGCGTTTCGTTCGCGCGACCTTCGGCTCTCCCGGAGATGCGTCGACGCGCTTTTTGCGCCTCGAATCGACGGAACGACGTCTCCGACGAGGACGGGTACCGTCGCGGCTGAATTATGCACGAGTTTCGATGGAAAAGCTCTCATCCACTTTGCACGCGTGCATCGATCAAGCGATTCCTTCCGCGACGCGACGCCTCTATGGACAAGAGAGGGCTATTTATTGCTTGGATATCCATCGGAGGGCACGGTTTTATCCGTTAGATTATAAGTGATGCTTTCAGAATTTGCGAGCCATTCAATCACCCGGACGTACACGTCGAGCAAACTGTTACACCCTCATTGTTCGCGATTTCGTCTTCGAAGGCATCCATTTTTTAAGATAAATTTGAAAACAGATGTTGTTTACAGTCTAATTTACATTTCGAAGAAAATCGTGCCTGCGTTTTGACTTTCCATTCGTCCAGGATTATTCCAGAGAATATCACAGCTCGTTAAAAATCTATATCGAAGCTCGAAAACTCGGATTTCATTTGATTTTAATTTGTAACCCGAACGTCCAAATTGGAGATTGCTCCAGGGCGCCGATGGCTTCAACGTCGGTCCTGATTGTGGGACACGTTACGTAGGCCGTGCTAAAAGATCGTTAGTTTCTCGTCCAAAGGAACATTGGCGTACATTCGTTAGGCTAAAAAACGTTCTCCCTGCTCGTAACAACATTCGATATTAATAAATTTTCCACCTTAAAGAAAATGATAAGAGAAGAAAGGAGGTCCGTGGTAACCTCGTTATTTGTTTCAGGGTTCGGTCTGCGACCCTTGGGCCTCGGCGATGACGCAGTTATGTTAATCAGTTACCCTGGAGAGCTCTTCATGAGGCTGTTGAAGTTAATGATCTTGCCGCTGGTGATCGCCAGCCTGATATCCGGTAAAATATGCCCGAACCATCGTGTGAGGAGACTCGTGACCGCCGAACAATAATAATTAGACAATTTTCCAGGCTCCGCGAGCCTGAACGCAAGGATGAACGGGATGATCGCTGTCCGCACGTTGGTCTACTTCATACTCACGTCGTTGCTGAACGCGGTCCTCGGCGTAATACTGGTACTTCTGATCCATCCTGGTAATCCTGGGATCAGAAAATCGATGACCACCTCGCACAACGGACGCGCCGTCAACATCCTGGACAGTCTTCTGGATTTGGGAAGGTAACTTTGTCTATTTACGAGGCCCGTCAGGCGTTAGGTATCGATCAGAATCTGCTATTTTCGCTCTTTTGCGCCGTCACTCGTGGCAACAGCCTTCCGGAATTTTCCCAGGATAAATGTGGCGTCTCATACTGCGTTGTCGGAGCAACGGTTGACTCGTTCTACCGAACTACCGCTCCGAAGATATATCGCGAGTTCGCGGTAGCATCGCGATCAATCATCTTGTCTGAACAGAACGGTGAAGCAAATCACGACCGGATAAAGAACGATCACGGAGTTGTCGAGCAGAAAATTAAGAGCCCTAGAATTATTTTTGGATAAACAACCTTTCGAAAAGAATATATTTAATTTGGTCAAAAAGTCAGTTTTCTCCGAGCCCTTGGAGGATATGGAGCCATAAGTTGTCACGTTGAAGACTAGGGGAAGCTTCTCGAGCCTGCCTATGTTGATCTATAATTATCTTTGCAAAATAGTCTGTCAAAACAAGCGTGTTACGATCGATATCAGCAGAGAAATAATATCAGCGAAAGAGAAAATATTCACAGGGAATTACGTTTAATAAATCGCTTGAATTTTATATAGATCATTTAAATGTTTAAGCTTCAGAAAAAATTTGTTTTCTATGGAAAAGCTATTTTTAAAGAGATGTTAAATTTATTTCGTCTCTAGATTCAGTGGTTAGCTCTAGATGGTTCTACTTCCCTGCTATTATTAGTTTTGACGTATATTGTCAATTTGATGTCGAATTGTGGCGATCAGAATTAGATTTAACCTTCGAGGACAAATGTTTTACTAAGAGGATATACTGCAAGGACATACTAATTTGGAATGTTTGAGTAGAAGAATGTTCCAACAGTATTAACAGAGGCTCGGATAAAGAAGGTTCCACTTTGTTCAGAAGATATATTTGGCTAATCCTAAAAATGTTTAAACCCGAGAAAAAACCTGTTCTCTCTAAAAAGTGGCTCCAACCATAACTTGGACCTAAGACCGATTTTGAAAATGTTTAGCTTTGAGAAGAAACCAGTTTTTTCGGGCCCACCTACGCTATTCGTATTTATCACTGAAAAACAACCTTCTAAAATGAGTATTTGCAAAAATAAAAATAATACAAACACCTTGAACGCTTTCTTTGAGATTTAAGATCTTACTTTTTACACTGGTTTGAATACATTACTTGGATATGCAAGAGTTTGATGAATATCTGACCATATCGGAACACGATACACGAAATTTAAATGGCGTTAGCTTTAATCTAATCGAACCTTGACATATTCGATGATACGCGTTTATCGCATATTTCTTCACTATGCGAATGCTTTTTGCATACGTGCTGTTTGCAGTTGGCATAGAACCGCTTCGCGTTCGATAAACCACATTTTACTCTTTCATGCGGCCCCTCCCGCTACACGTTCCCACCTAATCTATCATTATGTTTCTTTTCAGCCTCTCTCCTCTTATATTTTATACAACATTTATAACACGACTTTATAATTCGGTCAAGTTCAAGCTTCTGTCATCGATTTAACTTTATAATTAATTCATCGGTTAACTCCTTTAAAACGGTCTACCGCCTCCTCGTACTTTAAAAGCATTTCAATCTCGATAAGCTGTTATAAATAAAGTATATACATTTACAGCAGATAATGTGTCGTATGAAATATTTACCGGAGGCCACCGCGATTTCATCGGTAGTTCCATTTCCTCTTGTTAATCGATCTTAATAAATGTTAACGCACGCACAATAAACATTTAAACGATCGAACCATAGCCACGACGAGAAAGTAGAGCTTGCAACTTTTTCGGTGACCTACATTACGATTCTTTGGAACAATAGCCGCGATAAAGAAAAAAGGAAGAAGTATTGCAAATGAAACGTCGGAATCGTGAATATTCTTTTTCACCATATTGTCTACAGAAAAAAACATTTACAGTCTCTGTGTCTGTTCTATTCTTACGTAATCATAATATTTCGGCTGAAATTTTTCCCTCGTTATATATTCTTTATCGCTTTCAAATAAATGCTCGACTCATCGAGGTGGTTCGTCGATATAAAATACCTCGAAAACAATTCCCCGGTGTACTGTTTAAAGAACATGTAATTTGCTTCGCCGTTCCAAGCGTTATCAGAGACGTTAGAAAGCGAGAGTCGCGTGCAGGAAGTCGTCTTCCTCCCAGGACGAGCAAGACGGCTCGTCGATGGCTCGTTTCTCGAGCAACCCTTTTCGTCGCGGCGGTCGCTCGAAACGATTTATCGATGGAAACGACCGTCTCGATAAGGATTAAGGTCGCCCGTTGCTCGACGATCGGTGAACTTTTCTAAAGCCGTCGCAATAAAGGATAATACCTATCGCGATGAAAATAGAAGTATGCGCGCGGATATATCGATCCGTGCGTGGTTTATTCGCGCAACCTGAGGAGTCTTCCGTTTAAAACGTACGCTTCTGGTGTATACCGGCGACTAACACAATTACACGTTGTATCGGGAATTAACCGCGAAAGCCGATAAAGGCTATCGATCAAGCGCTACGTAAAAAAAGAAAACGCATCTGACACGAACGTTTTCTCGACACGTTGCAGGAACATGTTCCCGGACAATATTTTCCAAGCAGCGTTCCAGCAGGTAAATAAAATTCATTCTTTCGATCATGCTCTGCTCGAAGGACGTACCCCTGTTGTTCACGAGGCTGTTCTCCGCAGGCACACACGGTCTACGTGCCGAAAACCCAGCCCTTCCGGAACCTCAGCGACTCGGTGTCCTCGGAGGTCCTCGGAGAAGAGGAACTTATGCGAGTCACCCAGTACAGGAGCGGAACGAACACGCTGGGCATTGTTTTCTTCTGTCTGGTCTTTGGAACGTTCTTAGGTACCCTCGGGGAAAAGGGACAGATCGTCATCGATTTCTTCAAGGCTGTCTTCGAGGTCATCATGCGCATGGTGTCGACCGTCATGTGGTACGTTCGAATTTTACAAACAACTCCTAATAAAAATATTAAGAAATGAGTATAAATATTGTGAAAGTTAAGGGAGATTATTTTGCAAAGCATCCGTGATTTTTACGTTCCGATGGACGGCATAGACTACTCAATTTGCTCGCGAGAATTTCTTTGGAAGGAACCGGTTTCCCGTCGCGGTCGGCTCTATGCTCGGCCCGTTAAAGAAACCAAAATAATATTAGAGCCTCTATTAATCAGAGGGGACAGCGAGGATAGATTTCGAAAGACGATAGAATTCACATTCGGAATTTCTATAAATAAACATGATCCTATCATAGCATAGTACTCCTCGATCCCTCTACGGAAAGATACTCAAACTTCTGAATAAATAATAGAGAGCAAGGATACGTTCGTGGAAGATATGGAAATAATTCGGTCCGAGAAAGCAGAACTAATCCAAATGGAAATGAATAATTCGCTTCTCTTGCTTTTCGGACGTGTCCTCGTCCGGGGGTCATTACTTATTCAGAAATTTGCAAAACCAGTTTCGTGGAAGTTTAAAAACTTGACGCAGACAGCGGCTGACAAGGAACTTCCGTAAAAGGAGGTCCAAGAAATTGCCGGTACTTTTCTTGGACCTTTGTTCCATCAAGATGTCTTTATTCCCAAGTTTTTAGTCCTTAGCGCGGATGTTTGTGCATTTTAATTTTCAAAGTAACTACGGAATACTTGAAGTAAGACACGAATTATTATATTTAGGGGTTGAAATATGGTGGAAGGGTAGTAAAGTATCGTTTATGCATTTTAATTTTGAAAGTAACTACGGAATACTTGAAGTAAGATACGAATTATTATATTTAGGGGTTGAAATATGGTGGACTGGTAGTAAAGTATCGTTTTGGTGTATTTTGGCAGGATGACACCGGTGGGGATCACGTCGGTGATAGCTGGAAAAATACTAGGCGTGACCGATTTGGCGCTGGTGATGTCGCAGCTCGCCTGGTTCATCGTCACGATCGTGATCGGTGTTTTTTTCTATCAGCTGGTGATCATGCAGCTGATCTACCTGGCCTTCGTGAGAAAGAACCCTTTTAAATTCTACGCCGGCCTCGCCCAGGGTACCCTCACCGCTTTCGCCATGGCATCAACGTGAGTCGACGATCTTCGAACTCAGCCCGACCTTCAGAGTACCCATATTATCGCCTGCCTCACATGACCTCGGTCGTCATCGTCATCTAGCTTCTAACCCACCCCAGACGATCCCGTCCGACCCCTATCACGTCTTCCTCCGTCTTTCCCCGTCAATTGTCTCCCGTCGTGTCCGTTTCGTTTCCTCCTTATCCCCCTAAAAAAAAATAAATAAAACGTTCCGAGAACGCGTTCAAGACACGAAAGAGCCAGGTCGGGGGCGTACGATTATCGAATCGATTGACAAAGAGACAAAATATGTTTCAGCCAGCCGAGAGGAGGCTTTGCGAGGCCGTGGTCCCGTTACTCCGTTCCGAAACTGCTATCGATTTCAGCCAGCGTTTCACAACGTCGGGACCTTTATCCTCGATGACGTTGTCGAACGCTGACGATAATCGTTCCTACTTCCCGTCCACAGATTCGATCCCCGTTCGGGCCCATTACGTTTCTTTAATGTTCTCCCGTTTCTCATGGGGAGATCAATCGTCATGATCAATGAGAAAGAGAGAGAGGTATGCAGTACCGGGTGGCACTTAGGATGCGGATACTCCCGGTTGTCGGTTACTGTCCACGAACTTTCGGTGTACGTATTCAATCGTTCGGATACTCGTCTATCGTCAGACCGAAATTTCGAGGCGTGTGTTATGGAGCTACGGTCCGGGACAAAATTACAGAATCAAACAAACAGGGAGCCGAAACACTTGATTCTCGAGATTATAGGGGTTTGGTCAATGCGTGAAATGGAAAATCTGATGAAATCGGTATTTATAATATGTGTGTTTTCGACTTGGAACTACGAGTTTTGTGAGTTTGTCCCGGGGGAAGTGGCGACGTGAAAGAAAGAGGAGAATGTAAACGAAAGAGGAGAAGGACACGTAAAGAGTACAAAAGTGCACGGAAACGGGCGTCTTTGTCCGTGTCTGTTGAGCCGGAAATCAGCTGACTCCGTGTCACCTGGACTGATTCTCGGGGCGGAGGCCTTCGAGGGCTTCCTTTATCCGAATCTTCCGCCTTCTCGTCGCGAGGGACGAGGCGGAGGAAGAAGATACCGGCCGAAGGAGGCTTCCGCGCCAACCATGTTATTACATAAGCATTTTTTCCGAGAGAAATCAAAAGGGAAACTGAAAAAAATATTGGTTGCTCGCGTCGAGCCCGCTCTTCCAGGTTTGACGGCGACGTCCATCACTGCTGCTAGTCCAGAACTGCTGAACTACGATACGCTTTCTTTACTATGATTACTCGTTTGACCGCGGATCACGCGAAGCAACGATCATTTTTTCAGTTTATCCGTCGAAAGTTTTTTACAGAACCATCCACCGTTACCTCATCCTGGTTTCCCTTTCATATCTCGTCATTATTTCCCTCGTTCCTTGCATCGTGGGACAGAGAAGCATTCGTGTCACGAGTAACGCTTGCGATGATTCACAACGTGTTTCACGCTTCGAACCCTTTTCCGTCCCATCGTCGCGGTGCTCGAAGAACCGTTAAAAAACACGTCCCAGCCAACGGCAATTGTTTCTAATTCAACTTGTTTTTCTATGTGGATTAACTTTTTCCAGAAAAGAGCGTACACAACTATGCGTATACTGTGACTGAGAGAACAAGTGCTCTCAGTGTATCATGAACAGAGACTGTATGAATATCAATGATGATGTATTAGAGCACGCGCTGCACGCGGCCTTTTGCAGGTGGTTCAGTGAGGTCGAGGGTGGCCTTGGTAAGTAATCGATGGCCGCGACATGAAGGTACAATACGATTGTCTGTTGCAGAGTTAGGTGGACCGTAGGACGGACGACGTACCATCGCCGATATGCCTGTCGTCTGTTCGATTAACCCCTGGTTAATTTTCAGCTCGTCTGTGCGGTCATTCTGGTCAATTAGCTTATCGAAAAACAAATACCTTTACCGTCGATACGACTTCTATCGGTGACAAAACACGCCCTTATCGATCGACCTTACCGCGTTGTACGAGATATGGTATATATATATATATACATATATACGAAATATTTGACTCTACTCTATCATTTGACTCGTGCTCATAAAAAGATCCTTGCACCGTATCATTCAGTGAATCAGATTCATTATGTTAGACGATCGTTCCGCCAGAATGACCCCTGGTCCCTGGACACCGGGCGATGCTGCACGCGGCATATGACCTTTCTAACGATATAGAAACCCGGTATGCCAGATTTTTCCTAACGCAGCTTTGTACAGGGCTGCCGCGCTCCCGGTCACGTTCCGCCTGATGACGGACAAGCTCAGGGTCGATCCTCGAGTTACCAGATTCGTTCTGCCGATCGGTTGCAACATTAACATGGACGGCACGGCACTGTTTGTCGCCGTCGCCAGTATATTCATCGCGCAGATGCACGGTATCGCTTTGGGCTTCGGCGAGATTATAACCGTTATGTAAGCAGCTTCGCCTTAACGAACTATCATTTCGCTGGTTCGAATCAGCCAAATATCATTAACCAAGGGACAATTTTGTTTAAAGCTTAACGTCAACCGCTGCGTCTGTGTCATCAGCTTCAGTTCCGAGCGCTGCTCTAGTGCTCCTCCTCGTCGTGTTAAGCGCCATCGACGCTCCCGTTTACAACGTCTCCCTGTTATTCACCATCGATTGGTTCGTGTAAGTATCGAGATTCTGTAAGAAAATTCTCCGACGATCGAACGTTGGAACATTTAATATTTTCCGTTTGAATTCAGGGACCGCATACGGACCACCAACAACATGTTGGGCGATTGTTATGCCGCCGCAGTGGTCGAACAGCTGTCCAAGAAGGAACTGATGGCCCTCGATGCGGCAGCCTATCAGGTAAAATCAAAATTATAAATCAACTCTTCGAAATATGTGGAAACTTTCGATACTTTATGGAATACCGCGCGAACATAGTTCTCCATAGCAGATCATCGGTATTCGTTCGATCGGGAAAGCTCAGTTCATCCCCTTGCATCGCGCATGCTCTCGGTTTTCCGATGAACAAATATAATCATGTGATCCGATTTCACAACGGTGTAGCATGTATAATGCATGCACTCGACACAGCAAGATACTCTTTGGCATACTTTTTGTCTAAAATGTCGCACGTCATCGCCATCGGTGCTCAGATTTGCTCGATCGATTTTACCGTACAACGTAACTGCTCCTTTATTATGTTTGGATTTGCAAACAATCCACTATGCAGTTACAAAGTCTGAAACTTCAAGCTAAACTATTCCATGAATCAATTTTACGAATAATTATCGAAGAAGACACACCCTTGAAGAAAAAAGAATGAATAATAGAACCGGAAGAACGATTACAGTTAAAATATATTTTTATTCGATAGATACAGACATTGATAAGAGAATTTCATCCTCGACTCGGTTCGAAGTGAACACGACACGCATTACTCATTTCGCTAATGAAGTGCCAGCGATCAGGGCATTGATCATTCCCGTTGGTATCTTTTTCCAGTCGGAGACCGTTCTGCCGACGACGATCGCGAATGGATGCATTTCCGCCAACAGAGTACCTGATCCTGACACCATCGTAGTCGAGATGCAGGACGATACGAGGATAGCCGGCATCGCCAAGTAAACAAGCTTGTTGGTAGGGCTAGGCTATCACTTTGTACGATCACGAACGATCGCGTGCATTCATCCTGGTTTTTTCGCCGCCCGTCTATTTATTCCGTTTCGCTGGCTGGTCGGCGGGGCTGATTAACTTGCATATTGCAAACGGCTCGTTCGATTTCGATGACATTTATAAACGATTCATGGCCAGGCCACTGTCGTCGCACTTAAGCTTCTCATTTCCTCGCTGTCGCGCGTCATTCGTTTTTCTTTTTTTTTCTTTTCTCCCCTTCGATCGCCTGCTCGACGCGAGAGATATCGATGGATTCCCCAGCGTGATTTTTGTAACACGCTAATAATTGTTAAGCATGTCACTCGCGACTGTCGAGCCAGCGGCCGGTAGATCTCTGTACCGCCTAAATATATAATCGATCCAACGCAAGCGCCCGCCATTATGGTACACGCGAACGATCGAGCGAGGCTCTGCGTCAGCCGAGGGCAGATCATTGGGTCTCTCCACGACGAAGCACAGACTTCTCGGACATTGTAACGACGTCACGCATTCGAGAGGTTTGGTGAAGTTTTTTCTCGCGTTGCACCATATATTTTTTTTTATTTTATAGAGTACACACGTACACGTTGTAAAGAATTGTTAACCGTTGCACGTGAGCGCTGCGACGCATCATCATCATCGAGAATCCCATCCGCTTTGTTAAAGTGCCGCTTCGAAGCAACGTCGACGTCCAGAGGCGTGCCCCTCAACCGTCTTGTTTCGTTTTCAGCATCAGCGTGTTGCAGATGCCCAGGAGCGTGACGGAAGAGACAGTCTGACCAGTGGTTCACCCTGTGTTTAGCTCTAGATATCGTCGACCGAATTGTTAACGAACTTCGCACGCTTTCGTCCCCCCTGGCCGAAAGATACGTGTCAACCGTGGATCAAAATACTAAAAAGGGGTACACAATAACGTTTTCTACTGTCGGCGAAACCTTTTTCCATTGTAACGATTTCGCGACGGGAACGTCTCGAGAAGAGAAAGAGAACACGGCCACGAGAATCCAGATATCAAACACGAAGTCAATAATCGCGATTCGCGTCTAAGACACAGCAATAACGAGACCGTATTTACGAAGCTAACGACACGAAGCAGCTTCCTCGATCGTCGAGAGAACGACCGGTTCAGATTGCACTCCCGAATTATTATAAACGATCGTTTCCCGCGATCGATCGCGCAAACAGCGTCGAGTGTGGTGCCTTATTTTAACCACGGCACTTTAAACGGCCGCTGCGAACGTAGAAAAGAGAAAAAAAAATAATAAAGAAAATTTCTGTTCATTAACCAAAAACCCGAAGTAATCCGAATAGGCGTTAGCTAATTGGCCGGGTACCGGAATCAGCGTAGCTTTTGGCGATCGATCGTCCTACTGCCACAACAGTTTTCCACCGACACATAAACAATTTCGACTGTCAGCCACCGTTCGCGAAACGATCGGACAACGAGCGAACGTGTTTGCTACCGTTCGATCGATCCACCGAGGAGGAACACGTCCAGGAACGTTTGGCGAAAAGAAGACATTGTTCGATAATTACGTAGGGACGCGTAGATGTAGGAATGTCGTGATACGAGATCGATCGACGCTAGCACGGCGTCACGACGCTAGTCGCGAAACATATGTATAGTCGGTTAGCGTACGACGCGTGCAACGGCGTTGATTATTACCAGATCGTAGACGAAACCGTTTGGAAACGAACCGTAGGGGTTTCCATTAGCTCTTAACTGTCATATTGAAAACTATAACTGTCGGACCATTGACGAACATGGATCGGTGCACAGACATCTCGGGCGGCTCGTACCCTCGGGGCGAGCCGCGTTCACGATTCTGCCACTGTGCACTTTTTTTGCGATTAACGTTCCCTCCCTTTAGCGTAATTTAAGTCCCGAGACGAGTCGTTCTCGGTTTCATAGCGTAGATCCACCCCGCTCCACAACAATAAGATAATAACAAAAAAAAAAAAAAAAACACAAAAAACAGATATATATGAAAACAAAAAAAAAGTGAACGAAACAAAAAAAAAAACACGAAAGAGAAGATCATCTAGCGCTCTTTGACGGGCAGCCTCAAGACTGGACATGCCATTTGAATATGTCGTTTATAATAAATACTACGTATAACGTTATAGGAAAAATTACGTGAGGAATTCACTGATTCTAGGCACTAGGTACGTAGGTCGATACGTGTTCTATCGTAGAGACTGTTTAAATGTACAAATTAACTGGGTAACTACTAGTGCTTCGTAGTGCGTTGTTTCACCCGAAAGCGAACCCGTTTAAATGATTTTTCGATGATAACCGAGCGTCGTTTCCGTTGAACGATATTCCTGCCTCGCTGTTTTCGTTCTCCGTAATCGTTGCGTTTTGCGGATCCGTCACGTTGGAAGTTTTTTGCCGTGCTACACACACCTTTTGCCCCCGCGCGCGATACCGACTTTACGTTACCTTTGAACAGTGAATGCGGCGAGTGCTTTGTTTATAGCCTAGAGGAGAGCAGGGGGTGAATAGAGAAAGAATTTATCGAAATACTTCAAAAAGACTATGTGTGAATATACTTATAAGGCTCAACGTGTTGTATAACAAGATGCAAGGTTTATACGAGAACGTGCGTTATTTCTTACCTTCGATCGTCCCTTATCCATGCTCGGCAAATCCGTGTTTTGATCAATTATTATTTTATTTCCGTTGTATTACAATTAAATTTCAATGCTTGGGAATACAAAAAAGCGACCAAATTGCCTAGATTTTGAAGATCGATGTTGCCATACAAGTGTTTCGTTTCATCCTCGAGGAAGCTAACAAAGAATAGGGATTTAAATTCGGATAATAGATTTTTTTTATCAATGGAGGGGATCCCCTATAGTCATAGGGACCAAAGGGGTTTAAGTCCCCCTTTTTGTACCCTCCAATGATCCCTGCTGTCGTAGGGTACACGAGTACGAAACTCGATACAAAAAAAAAGTATGCCTGTTCGATTTAGGCTGTCAGGACAGCTCTATTCTAATACGACGATGAAAAAAAATTGTGCAGGAGAATTTTGTCTGGTCCAGTGACCTCTCTAATCCTGTGGTGCTTTCTTCCCAAGCGCAGCTGTGTATTTGCACTACTTCTCATGAAATTAATTAAAATTTTTTATGTTTTGTGTTAGTCACACATTATATTTTCGGTAAAGAATTTTTTTCTCTGAAGTGAGCAGGATTTCGGGGGTATGTCTATTCACCAAAAATTATTGTAATTGACCCCCTCAACTGAAAATAATTTTTAAAGAACGATTTCAAAAAATTTTTGAAATTTCAGGGAAACATATCAATGTATGGTCAGACATTAGATATTTGGAAAGGAATTTTTTTCTCGAAAGTGCGTAGGATTTCGGGGATATGTGTAATGACTAAAAATGATTGTAATGGACCCCGGCAACCAAAAATAATTTTTCCAGAACGATTTGAAAGTTTTCAATTACGTCGAAAAATTTGTGAACCTGCCCCGTCGATTCTTCTTAAAAATAGACATTACAAACAAATAGCTGTTCTAAAGATGTGAATGATTGAAAACAACGGATTCCTAAAAAATTCATTTATTTAAAATCCACCGTCACGTGGATCCTTGGCTCACGGGAGAGTCTTTGTACAAAGAGTTTGTTTTTTTTTATACAAAATGTGACATATCTATTCTCTAGCATTTATGTATATGTACTTGGCTGACGTTCCGTCTTCCGTTACATCGTGATTTCGTTCAGCTGGCGAACGCAACGTAAAAAAATTAGATGAGAAATAAAGAGATAGAGGGGGTGAGGGATTAAATGGCGCGTCCGAATCTGCCCAGTCGCGAATTCTAGAATGATCAGTTCGCTCGCGACGACGCATTTTCGACGCGGTGACGTCGCGCCATGCTCCATGAAACACTCGAGACAAATTTGTCTCGGTCTCAAACAAACAAAAAAAAAATAATAAAAAAAACTATAAAACATTTAGAGGTCACTGTACAATCCGCGCGTTTCGACGAGCATGGCGCGAACGTCGAATTCGTTCGCGTAACGGCAGTCTATCTTTTTGATTATACGGCGAAATAATATCGTCATTTCTCCTTTGTCCGTTCGTTAGAGTCTTATTTACACCGATTGCTTAGCGGTTACAACGCCCCCACGTTGGCGTCTCCTATTTACATTCGAGTATTCTTTCATCTATCGATCGGCCGACGATCGAAACGGCAAGTAACAGTCGTATCGTACATATCCGATATAATAATATCATCGCAGTGGAGAGATCGCGTAATCGCCTCCTTTTCGCCGTGTCGCGCGCGTTTTCAAGCACGCGCACGCGAGATTATCTACAAAACAATTAATAAGCGCGAAAACGAGGCGCTCGCCTATGTATACATATATATCACGAAGTGGAGGGAATGAGAAAAAAAAATTTGCACCTTGGCGCCTCCGACGGTCCCGTCGAAGGTCAGTCAACTTAGAGTTTCTATTTTATACACGCGCTGCACACTGGAATCACACGATCGGCTCGAGTCTATGCTACACTCCGCGACAGAGTCTCGAAATTAGCTTTTTACTAAAGTGTCTCTCGCGTTTCTTCTTCAATCGTCGATTACATATTCACTAACGACTTCGCGCGTCCAGGGATGGGCACGATCGAAACGATTTCCTAATCGATACGCCTCTAAAATACTGAACAGGCCCGCTCGGCGCTCGGAACGAATGACGAACAATCCGATTTGTATTCCGTAGCGATTTACGTATCGACGTTCGCGCGTTCGTGTTCGGTTCTGCTGTCAAATATTAAATCGTGATTTATATTCGGGGCCCCATTCATGATCGGCGAAGAATACTTATCGGTACTACGCGTCGTTTGCTCTGGACGATTTTGTATAAATTATTTAAAAACGACTTGGTAAGATTTATAAAGTTTTGCTCGATTTTTGCGACTTCTCATAAATATAGGAATTAATTTACTTATTATGAATTAAAGAGCAAACGCCACAGTGACCATACGACGTACGTTTAACCAGTTCCATAAAAATTTACTGTCCGACGTAATCGAAGTATTCTCCACTCGGTCAGCTATTAAACGTAATATGCTAATATATTCAGCATACAGGCGACAACTTCGATACAGCTACCGAAACAACGCGCGAACACTTTTGAGCATTTTGGCTACGTATCAGAATACAAATTCTCGATGCATTATTCATCGTTCCGACACTTTTCGAAACACGGTTATGCCCATCTCAGGCCGCAGCGAATATTAACGGTTGTCCAGTGACCCCTGGGGGTCGGTCTCGAGGCGTCCTCAGATCCTGAGTTCCGCGTCGGTGACCGGTATCCCCCTGTTGGCGGTCTGACCGGACCTCTGGGTGGCTGGGGGCACCAGCGGACTGATACTGGGACTTCTGGTGGCCAGCGGTGAGAGGGATGGGGAAAAACTGGGACTGAGAGCGGCGGAGGGGAAGGTGGAGGCGTCGTGACTGATGGGGGACCTGGGGAGGATGCCTCTGGCGAGCGCGGGGGCCGCCAGCGATCTGGGGGCGACGGAAGTCAGCAACGGCGGGGGTGGAGCTTTATGTACAGACTTGGTCTTGCCGCTGCTGCCCGAGTTTCCGCTCTGGACACTGGCGGCGTCGTCCTTCAACCTGGCGATCTCGCTGAACACGTGCGCCAGGGGTTGATAGTGGGGACCCCAGTCCAGTAGGTAGTCCCAGTTGTACGAACCTGTGAGCTCCTCCTCGCTGTGCACGATGGAGCTCAAGGATCCGTTCATGGACGGGCCACCAGGCACCTCTAATCCCGACATCGGTCTTCCAGGCTCGCCGATCTTCCCGTAGATCAGAGTGGCGATGTCTGCCTCGGTGGCGGTCTCGTCCTCGAACAGGTGCAGGCTGTCGAGAGGCAGGGCTTCCGGCGGCCTGCGCGGCGTGCCGGCCGGAGGATCGACGATCCCCAGCCTGGCCAAGTATTCCTGAGTGTTGTGCACCGATAAATCGCTGGCAGAGTCTCCTGTCTGCTGGCCCTCGTTGATCATTCGAATCTCCTCGTCCTCACCGTCATCCTCCGCCGAGCCTCTGCCGGAAGATCCGGACTGATCGCTGCCGGACAGCTCGGAGGTGGCCTGTTGCTGACCCGACTGACCGGAAGTCCCGTAGGGTGGTATCTCGTCGTACTTGGGCGGCGCGAACTGACACGAGGCGCCGCCGTTCCCGCCATTGCCGTTCCCGGAACCCACGTTACCCGCTGTGCCCACGCCACCCACGCTTCTGATGGGGATCGTGTCGAAGGCGCTGGGGTCCACGTAACTGTTGGAAGCCGTGGCGTTGCTCTCGCCGTTCAGACCAGGCTTCGTTCCCGGCTTCTTGTGTCTGCGATTACGAAGATGGAGGTACAGGAATATAGCCCCGAAAGCGACCACCAGAAGGAGAAGAGCGATCAGCAGGCCCAGCGCCCAGTCAGCCAGGCCTCCGTTCGCCGCCACGGCCATGTTGGTACCAACGTCCGTCGGAGTGGCCAGCGCTGTCGCGCCTCTAGCTTCGTTCACGTCGTTGTCGTCCGTCAGAGTGATCTCCACGACGGTCATGTTCGACAAGGAACCCTGTCTGCCGGAGCTGGCGCTGACCACCAGCCTCGAGGACTCCTCCACGTCCATGTCGATGTGCATCAGCTTCTGCTTGACGATCAGCGCCCCGGTGGTGCGGTTCAGCTTGAAGTACGGATGCTGTGAGGTCAGCTGGTACACCACCCGTCCATCAGGACCCTTGTCGCGGTCCGTCGCCGTCACGTGACCGATCACCGTACCCGGGAGCACCTGGGCCCCGCTTCTGATCCCGAATCTGTACATCCTCTCGGTGAACTGGGGGTAAAACTCGTCCCTGGACTCGATCTCCACCCTCACTCTCACCGCGGCGGTTCGTCCCCCAGTGTCCGTAGCCCTCAGCGTGAACGCGTACCGGTTCCTCAGCTCGTAGTCGAATACAGCGCGCGTCGTCACTGTACCGGACTTGGCGTCCACGGCGAACAGCTTCCAGCTGTCGTCGATGTCGGAGAAGCCGGTTGCCGCCGCGGAGACGATGGAGTAGTTCAGTGAACCGAATATGCCGCGATCCAGGTCTGAGGCGCGAGCGGAGAAGACCGTCGTCCTGATGGGCTCGTTCTCGCCCACAAATTCAAGGTACTCGGAGACTGGGAACTTGGGCGAGTTGTCGTTCACGTCCTCCAAGCGGATTCGTAGCCTCGCCAATGCGCACAACGGCGAAGTTGGGTCGCTGTCGCAGGCCATCACCACCAGATTGTAGACCTCGGGCTCCAGGTCGCAGTCCAGGGTCGCGTTCACCAGCACGGCGCCCGTGGTCTTCTCCACCCGGAAGAGGCCGCCGTCGTTTCCAGACGTGATCTCGTACACGAGGCTCGCGGCGGCGCTCCCGGCCAGGTCGTCGTCCTTGGCGCGTAGCGTCGCCACGATGGTCCCGCGAGCCGCGTTCTCCTTGATCGACACCTGGTGGAGCTCCTCGAGGAACCGCGGGTAATTATCGTTCACGTCCTCCACGGTGACGATCACGGTTACGGGCTCGTCCCCTACCAGGGAACCGGTCGTCATGTTCTCGTTCTTCGAGCCTAGGCGCAGAACGTACCTGCAAACGGGAGTCGTCGTTAGCGTGGGGTTAATATTGGTGTTATTGTTGTGGGTGGTCATTTTGCAAGGTGGTGGAACACACCATTTAATCTTAACACGTTGACTCTTGCCAACAGACCAAACGACCTGCATATAAACCTGTGGAACTAGTTCTTACCTGTCTTTTGTTTCTCTGTCTAGGGCTTTGGAGAGGATCAGTTTGCCCCTGGACACTTCGAACGTTCCGCTCTCGTCGCCAGCAACGATGCTACCGTCCAACAGGTCCACGTCGGACAGCCTCATCAACGTGGTGCCCCTCAAAGAGTTCTCCTTCGCCGTGATCTTGTACTCCTTGCCAGGCAGCGAGCTCTTCAGACTGCTCAGCCTGACCACTACGGAACTCACGGACGAAGCGGGTGGTTTGCCATAATCCTCAGCCACCACGGCCAGCTCCACCTCTTTGGGCAGAGGCCTGGGTATCGCGGTACGATTAACAGTCAGGACACCGGTCACAGGATGCACCGAGAAGCCCTTGGTAGCTTTCAGCAGGTAATATCGCACGCGGCTGTTGTCCTCCGTGAGATCGTCGTCGGTCGCGTTCACCGTCAGAATCTCCTGCAGGTCTCCGCGTCCCTCTAAACAGGAAAAAAAGAACAGAGTTAGGACGACGATCGTGTGATTAGATTCTAATTGTTCTATCGACATCGCCAAAGTGATTCTATAGGATAAATTTAGGATCGCTAGGATCCTCTATACCCAAAAGAGAGATTCGTAACGTTAGTATAGAAATGCTTCGACGGTGGCTCGTCGAAAAACTGGTCGTCAGGCCCCGAGGTATCGATTTTGAATTCCAGAGTCCGGCGCGGTTCTTTTGCCTCGATTTTTGCATTACAAGCGGTTTGAGGCATGACGTATGCGACTGTCGTATCGATACGTATCAATTATAGCTCAGCAAGATAAATAAGGCCCATTGATTCGGTTGTACGGTCGGTTCTTATCGTCCTTTCGTAATCTTCGTTCTTTCGAGCAGTATCAGATGACACTTGTTCGCTAGGTAATGGGCCTAAGAGATAGACTAATCGCTCGGTTTCATCCCTGTCACTCTATTCTCCGCGCTCCCAGCCTCTACCCCCGGGGATCTTGCACGCGCCGAGTTGTACATCTTGTTTGATACCTGTTTACAATTCCCATCAGAAATAAAACGAGCGACGGCGTTGCGGCTGACGCGGATAATTAAGATTGCTGCCCTTGTCGTACCTCGGCTGTCTCATTTGCGAAGTGATAGTTTTGGGGGAACTTTTACTCGCGAAACGAGCACCGAGAACAGTGATTATCGATATTCAAGAGGAATTATTCGAGTAAAAGGTCTCCGATGATGTTTGAATCGAGATAACTTCTCCACATTCCTTTATCGTCGCGTTAGTTAAGCTACAGGTGCGGAGGATAGTTTAATCGCCTGGTCCCTCATCCCTGTCGCTCACTTTTCCACTCTCGAGCCATTACCTCGGGGCTCTTATTAAACTCGTTACACTGTACATCTTACTAGCTCTACTACCTCGTTCGTTAGGTAGATTAACGAGACGAATCAAATATATCTTAACAAATAAGAATTGAACGAACGAAAGTTTTCCTGCGGGTGGGAAGAAAATGGGACTCGAGAAGGGTGGGATCGATTTTGTAAGGCGGTCGAGAGGGGCCCCGGAACAAAGATCGGGGTATCACGGACGCGAGGTCAAGTACCCTCCGCCTCTTTTTGTCGGTGGTACGTCCTCGAGGAGCACCACCGGCGCGCCACCACCTCCGAGTTCTTTCTTTTCTCGGTAAAGGAGGAGGATAAGCCGTCCTGACATCGGGCTGAACGGAAGTATGAAATAATAACCAGTTGTATAAATCGCTCGGCCGGCCGAGCCGTGGGGCCCCGGCTCCGCTGCAGCGTACAAAAATCATTTCGATGCGTTTCAAATCGTCGGATAACTCGGCATTAATGTGCCAAGCTACGGACCCAAGGCGCGCGAGGGAGACAAAGAGACCAGACGACGACCAGGTCGGACGGAGACAACGCGGGACGGGGAAGGGGCGGAGAGGCCGAAATAAAACTTCACGGACCGCGCAGCCCTTTGGGGATGTCCGTGGTGAAGTGGTAGGGACGACCTCGTAGGAGGAGGTGAGGTGGGGATCTTAACCGAGAAGTGACAGGTACTCTATAATTATTGCGAGGTGCGTATGACCGTGGACGTATGCGTGTTCGCGTCACGACGCCTTGCTGGGACCAATTCTTATTACCGGTCGTGGGAGGACTCTCTTTCTCTCTTCGCTTCATTAATCCCTTCCAGAATATATCCTGCCTTCCTTGGACACCTTGATACACCTTGAAATTCATCCCTCGCGAAGCAGGGTGAACGAAGCTACCTCGAAATCGTCGACAATATTTTTTATTTGGTTACTATTCGAATGGGAGAACTCTCTAGTAAAGAACTCCGCTCGCTACCCCTTAATATTTCTTTGCACTCGTACTCGTGGACTCGAGTGTTTCTCTTTCTCGTTCGCGGTCCCAGCGTCGTTATCGATCAGCTTCCCGGCGAAGCAAGATATTTCCAGGGCCCTTCCATTGTCCCCTCCGTTTTCGCGGGTCCGGCGAGGGGCCCCGTGCAAGACGAACAGAGAAGGAGATGCAAATTCGCGAGGCCGTCGCCGTGGGAGCTTCCCCGGTTCTCCATTTCGACTCTTTCCACATCCACCTCCTGCCAATCCAGCCCTCCCTCGTGGTCCCTCGGTCCCCCCCTCGCCGAAATGCACCATTAGGCGCGGGCCTATGTATTTTTAATAAGTTTCGAGAGTCCTCGAAACGGGCGATCTCGGCCGGCGGTTGCAGCGAAGGCGGCTTTTCGGCTGCCTGGCAAACGGTGTCCTCGCGTTTATTTATGTGCAAGGCGTTCGCAATACTCCCCGTCCACCCTGCAAGCATCTCCCTCCGACCGATACACCCGTCTCCGTCTCGTTCCCCTTTTTCTTTTCATCCGTCTCCGTTTCTCCTTTCGTTCCCTTCACCGTTCGGGCAGCTAGCTTTTCATCGGTCCCCTCTCTCCCCCCACTCTTCTCCCCGGGCTTTCTTTTTCATCGTTTTCACCCTCCTGCTCTCTCTCGCGCGCCTCCTTCATTCGTTGGTCGCGTCTCTTTCGCGTGCTTTATCTTGGCGCGGTGTCAATTCGAGTTTGGAACACGGGCAACAGGACAACGCGTGTCTACTAAAAACCAGTTTTTAAACTCGCGTTTATTTCGCGCCGAGGGGCTTGCCCCGGGGCCCGTCCCCCTCCTACGTCCCCTCCCCACTCCCTCGCGATGGGCTCTCGTTCCCCGTTCGGCGCGATTTCTTCGACGGAATGTCGATCGAATAGACGACCCTTTAACGATCGTCGTTGGGCCAACAGTCAGCTGGCCGCTCAAGGCCGTCGAGCTCCTCCCCTCATCGTCCCAAAAGACTAAAACTACCAAAATGAAGGACCAATATTTCTAATAAATGGTGTCCGTGATGGTCACGCATTTAATACTCTTACAAAAAACAGAAACAGCGAATAAATATTTTTAATTTTATTATCGCGAGAGTCTTGAGAACGGAGGGGATGAAATATTGAATTGTTTATTCTGGACGCGTGGCCTTCGACGGCACCAATTGCTCATTTTTCCGTCGCCCCGGCGGACGCGGTTGTCAGGACTCGATAACCTGGCATTTTATTACCGCGTAATTAAACAGACGAGAGGCTCGAAGGGCCCCGCCGATATTCACCTTTATTACCTTCGAACGAGTGACGCTAAATTTGAATAGCGCGCCGAGTAATACGGGATACCGTGAAACCCTATGCTTCAAAGTCATTATATTCCGTGTCAGGAATTATATTTATCGTCCGATAATCGTACGAGTGTACAGTGGAAGTAGAACGAGTCCCCGAGTCGTGGTAGCCGTGGACCAATTTATATTCGTAATTCATATTTTGTGTGGTACGCGCCTATTAAGCGAGGTTGTTTTTCCTTTTTACGATAAAGATACAAGGCAAAAACCATCGGTAGTGAAGGCCTTTATGGGCCTTTTTACTTTGTTTCTTATTCGGTCGCCATATTAAATCACTGGTCTAAGCAGTAACTTCTTCTTTATGGGATTAAAATACAAAAATTAATTGTTCCCACGGGTCTAAACGTTGATTCGAAAGCTAATACGTCAAAAGGACAAAAATTGCAGTAGTTAACACATTTTGTTCCAACAACGATCACTCGAGGCCTGTAGAAATATTATCAAAAGCTCTTCTCGCCAAAGAGAACTTGACGTACAACGAAGGAGATATCTACTTCATTGAAAATGCCTGTTTCGTCGATTGGAAAATGTATTTTTAACGCGCCTGACTAATAATTCGACCACCCACTGTACGAGAGAATTAACAAGCGTCGGATAACATCGGATAAATTCCTGCGATCCCGATGCTGCCACGAGAGGATCGATTAAAAACTGAAATTCCCCGGGTTCCCCGTGGGATTCACCGATTAAAAGCATCAAAATAGCTGTACCGTCTTGCCTAACAGATTTGTCGCGCGTCCGAGCGCACCGATAACGATCCACGGAGATTCCATGAGATTTCTGTCGGTGTTACTCACCTGGCAGGGTGGCTAAGTACGCCGACTGCTGGAACCTCGGCGCGTTGTCGTTCAGGTCGGTGACGCGAACTATCAGGTCCGTGGTCGCCTCGTGGACACCGTCGCTGGCGATCACCTGGAGGCTGTACTCCGACCGCGTCTCCGCGTCCAAACGTCTCCGTAGAACGACCTTACCTCCGTAACGATCGATGCTGAACGGTCCTGGGTTCGTCACGTTCCCGAAACGATAGATCAGAGCAGGTGAACTGTCCACGTCGTTCGCCGTGATGGTCGTCAACACCGTACCCACCGTTGTACCTGCGTCCAAAGAATTTCACACGTTAATACCCGAATTGTATTCTAAAAATGTATCCAAAATGGCCATCCTTGGATTGTTTACAGTCTTAAGGATGTTGCATGTGCACTTGAAGGTGTCGATGATGAAGAATTTAGTCTGCGTACTTGTTACGCGACGTCTGAGGCTACCAATTAGTGCTGGGTACATATTTTTAAAATATTCATGTTATAAGTCCTGTAACGCAGAGAGCTTGTATCGGTTCATGTAAATCTGAGTCAATTTATTCTCCTTAAAATCAACAGATGAATGTGTAAATTGCCAGTGTCTAGGATTTTAAATTTTGAGAAACGAGTGTTTTGGAGAAAACTGAGTGAAAGGAGCATAATCGTAAGCATGGAGTCGCTGTTGATGAACCGTTTAACCGCGACATCGAACCGGCAGTCGTTTTATCGTCGCACAATGCCAGACACCGTTGTTACTGATGAATGGCGTCGTTACGGAGGCCCTGGTCCTTCCTCGTCTTTTTCTACACGGGGCAGAGAAGCCACTTTGTCACCGGCGTACGATCATTCGCGATACGTGTGTATATAGAGCGGCGTTGGAACTCCGGGGACCAGGGCGCGCTTCCGCGAACTTAAAGACACTCGGAGGGAGTCGCGTTTAAAATGCATTGAATCCGTACTATCGGCTCGTTTTATCTCGCTCGTGCTAAGAAGGCCGAGCGAATCCCTCGAAAGATTCGTGAGCGCATCGTAGGCGATAATCTCGAGCGTGCCGCGGGCAAATTACGAAAGGGTTGGGCGCACGGTAGCCGACAGGATATCGAAAACAACACTCCTCGACTATACTCTGCCTCCAGCCACTTCGGTGAAATTTAGGTGAAAAGTTAAATGTAAATAAGTGTGTCTAAAAAATTTTCACTTAAATCGTAAACTTCGCTGGCTCATAGTCCCTAAAAAAAAATTCGAGACCAGCTGATTTGACCCCCTGTTAATTTCACGCGGTCACCAGAATGTCTACGAGGAGATCGTTATTAGCGAAAAGTTCGCAAACGTCTCGAGCGCAATTTCGCGAGGCGGGTCGTTTGATACGCGGCGAACGGAGCCAACACCTGCGCCAATAAAAGAATTATTTCGCGGAGCGGTGTGCCTGGTTGGGACCAGAGGACTAGCACGCGGCCACGTCCGCTCGTAAATTTCACGGCCGATCGTTAAAGTCGTGTAAATCGGTTTCGAGAGCGGCCGTGTCCCTCCGACGACCACGTGGCCAGCCCACTCTGTACTCCCCGAGTTCCGGTAGTGTTCGTCGGTTCGGAAGTGGAGGTACGATCTCTCTATTAGGCCAGGAACGCGTCATCCCCTTTGCGCGACAGTTTCCCGGAAGGGACGAGCCATAGAAAATTGTTTGATCGAACAGGGAGCATCGATGATCGCTTTTAACGTATCGTCCGGTCGAGGACAGTCGACGCGTCACACTGCTATAAACTAACGTTATTTACCGCGTTCATTAAATTGTTTAGTCGACTCGAACATCGTTTACGACGCCTGGGCGCTCGAGTGCCCGGATTTACTGTTTTGTCGAGTCGATTAATAGGCGAGTGTGCCGTGGTTCCGGGGCCCACGCATTTTACGACATCGTCTCGAACTGTTTGGTCGAGTAGGAATTCCTGAAAACGCCTTTGTCACGTCAGCTGAGCTGTTCAAACAAGGATGGACTCGCGACTCTCACCAAACTGTTCGTTCGAACAGGGCACTGTCCGCCATGTCTCAAGAATCAAGGTACAAACAAGTGCAAACACTTTTACTCTCGTGTTTTCAGGGATCAATAGTTGAGCGTGCAAACGCGCGTCGGAAAATCGGTAGTTTGCGGGTATGGTAAACGCGGTGTAATCGCGTGGAATGCCGCGGAAGCTTACGAAGAACGCGGCGTCGTCGAGTTCCTCTCGAAATAATAAATTCTCTGAGCCGAGCACTCGATCTTCGTAAGTTATATCGAGTTAATTCTGATTACCGGAGGTCCTGGGCGTTCGCGGATCGGCGGCGAGCGTGCACGCGAATACGATACGTCGTCGGTGTGCTCCTTGTACGGAAAATCCGCTCGACGGTGGTCTACCATTGTTTCGATTTCTCGTGTCAGTGCCACTTTCGGAACCGATTCGATCGATGCTGTCGATTAAATCCTCCTTCGGCTTGGTCGCGGTCGCGCGCGCGCGCGCGGGCATGCGTACTCCCGGCGAACGTACGCGTCCGGGGCCCCTTCAGGAACAAAGGCGTGGGGGCTATCAAACATCGGCAAAACCGCACCTCTCGTTTTAGGCCCAACGATAATTACATACGCCGCGTCCACCGGGATAATTAAAAACAATTACTGTGCGCTTCGTTGAAATACGACCGGTCGCGAGCTCGGGATCGTTTCTCATTCGCGCGGGGTACTCCGATACCGCCTCAAAACTACTCCAAATTCCGACATTTCACGCGATAAACGCGATAGCTGTTCGCTATCAACCCCTTGACATACGATTTCATTTCAAATAATTTGTCAAATTTAATTTTGTTTAAGTTTCGTACAAGAAATGGTCACGAAAAAGAATAGATCTGAGTTATATATTTGGGTGCGTTGGGGTGCTCTATATTCTGCCCTTTGACCCCATATTTTCCATTTCTTACATCGATTACATAGTCTCCTTTACATTTTTTCCTTATTTTCCTCCCTTTTTTGTGTTGATTTTAATACATAAGATGGCGAATGAGTCGTGAAACTTGACATCAAGAACTTTGCACGACAAGGGATTAATGTTAGTGTTTCCCTATTTTGCTCGACTTTTGGACCACCGATATTTACTTTCCACCTCCGAGATTGCGTGTCGCGGATAATTATTGGAAAGAGACGCATTCAATTTCGAGAAGTTAACGGGAAAGAAATCGAGATCTGTTTAGGCAAGCTCGTTGGAAGGTCCGCCCACGCGAGCGCAGAAAGAGACGTTTCTACGTGGCAAAGTGAAGCGCGGATGATCCGTTAGGCTCGAGTCGCAAAACGGTCCAAGAAAGAGACGCCCGCGAGACGAAAAGGTCGAAAGGGGACCGCGAAACGGAGTGGGAAGGAAGAACAGGACGAAGGGCGGGCGGAACGAGGACGGAGAAGCGTCAGCCGTGGTAGGAGTGCATACTACTCTCGAAGTATAAAGTTAAGTGGCAAAGGATTTATGCCGGCATTAAAGTCCAACTGTTGCGGAACAATCTGCATAACTTAGGCGAGGCTGCGAATGCTCGTTCGGGTAGCTCGTGCTCTTTCCTGCGCCCGTCGTTTGCCGGCTTTTTCGGACCCTCTTCGTCTCTCATATTGTTCCCCATTGACAGATACGATTCAATGGAACGGCACCCGGCGGAGGTGGCCCCCGAGTTTGACGCGCAAGCGCCAGCCTCGAGCATGCTACCGTCATCTGCCCCTCTGCATTTAATATTTTCTCTCTAAATTTCAAGCAGCATTTTTATTCATTTACATTCATAAGAAATGAATTTTGCAATTACTTAATCGCTCTCAGAATATTTAAAATGCCACCCTCGTGTCAATGTTTCGCTGGAGCCATTTTCAGCTCTCGTAGCTCGGTTAATATTTCGAATTTCGTTGCGATATCGACCACTCGTGTTCCAGACGCTATATACTCGCAAAAGAAAAATAAACAGATTTTTTAACTCTGGGGGGAAAAAGGAGTAACCGGGCTGTGGACGATAGAGACGTCGCGCGATGGGAAATAAGAGGAACGCGGTAAATAATGAACGCGATTCGACGAGGACGTAATTGGCCAAAGTTTCGCTCGGTACGGTGCTCTGACTTCTCCCGGACGACAGAGGCTCGCCTTTTTGTTCTTGTTTCGAGCCGTCATCGGTACCAGCGAGAATCGAGCGAGTCTTCGGTTTAATTTACATCGCGAAACTTCGTCGCGATGCCCCTTCTCTCATCTTCGCCGCGATTCCTTTACTTTTCTCCCCCTCCCCCTTCGGGGGCCCCGTTGCTCTTTTTCTTCACTTCCTCCCTCTCCGTGATTCCGCTCGTCTTTTTTCCACCCCGCTTCCCTGCCTCCTTCTTGTTCGTCTCGCGGCGTCGGCGATTCTCTTTCAGCTCTTGTTGCGAACTTCTACGAACGTTCGACACGAAAGGCCGCGTACTCGCGCGCCAACGGGGCAACGCGAAGATCGCTATCTAATTTGTATCACCATAAAACTTCACTCCGGCGCAAACGAGACTGCTACCACTTCTATTCCGCCGATGCGCCGCTCGATAGAATATATTTAATACCGTCGTGACCGAAACGCGCGCGTACGGGGACACCAAAGTGTGCGCCATAGTTTCGACAATTTTATCATTGCTCGACGAGCCCTAGATAATCGAGAAAGGACAACGTCCCAAAATAACCTTTTGTCGCTGAAAAATTTCTACTCTCGGATCCTGGAAAAAACATTGGTTGCAATCGGGGGCAATTAGATCGCCAGCGCGTCGCAAAAGGTCTAATTGGAAATGACACGCAGACAGATCGAGTACAGGGAGGCGTATACGCTATCGGGGATAGTGTCAGCTAATAATCGCCGGTTAACCTTCGTGTTCGCCATACCGTAAGGAGAACAAACGCCGTAATTGGAGTACGCGACCAACGCAATTATCTCGTGCATTTCATTTCTAAGATGCTGGTGGCGTTTGCGTTTCTTTGATATCTCGTGGACTCACCTTCGGACACGGAGATGATGCTGTGCTCTGGAAACGTTGGCTGATTATCGTTGATGTCGATCACTCTGACGCTGAGAGCAGCCGTGCCGGTCAGCTGGGGGTTCCCTTGGTCCGTCGCGATGATCGTCAGTCTGTATTTCTCGCGGATCTCGCGATCGAGAACGATGTTGGTGCGAACCACCCCGCTGTAAGGCGGACTTATGGTGAACGCGTTGTCTGGGTTCCCGTCGACGATGTGGTACAGGATCCTGCTGTTCATTCCTTGGTCAGCGTCGCTGGCCGAAAGCTGAGTAAACGAAAATCGCAAATTAACCCCTTACAGTTAGCTATACCCTCTGAAGGGATAAAGAAGTTGGATGTACCCTCTAAAGAAGCACGATATTATTGTTTTAAAGTGATTATATATGACACCATACATAGGCAAAGAATATAAAGAAATATATTTGCTTGAAATTCATTGTAGGAGTCGAAGTTTGAAAATTCGACCACTTTTATGGGGTTTTTCTCATTTTAAGGTGTTAAGGAACAACTTTCCGATTATTTTTAGAATTTCTACTTATTCTTCACTAAAATACGCGTTGTTTGCCGGTTGAAACATTGAAATCGTCCAATCCGTTCGGGAGTTATGATTTTTTAAAGATACGCATAAAATTTCAGGGAAACATATCACTGTGTGGTCAGACATTGTATTATTTTCGGTTAGGAATTTTTTTCTCGAAAATGCGTAGGTTCTCGGGGGTATGTGTATTCACCAAAAATGATTGTGATTGACCCCTGCAGCTAAAAATAATTTTTCCAGAATGATTAGAAATTTTTTAAAAACTTTAGCATATTTAAAAAATAAATACCTTGACAACAAAGTCCCCCTTGACGTTGCCTTCCAGCACAGTTGCAGAGTACTGTGTTTGCGTGAACACGGGTGGATTGTCGTTCACGTCGGACACCCTGACAACCACTTTGACGTAAGCTTCCAAAGGGTCCGTTCCAGTTGTCCTAGCCACCACAGTGAGCACGTGCTTGGAGCTTTCCCTGGGCTCCTCCTTGGACTGTTGACCCTCCAAGGACCGTCCCCAGGTGTTCGCGTGCCCGTCTCCCGCGTGCTCCTCCACGGGTTTCACCCTCAGATCGGTCCACAATTCGGCGTCTAGTCTCGTCGGGTCGTTGACCCGCAGGAGTCCTGTGTCTTCGTCGATGGTGAACGTGCCAAAATCGTTCCCCGACCCGAGGGAATAGGAAACGTGTTGTCGTCTGCCGTCTGATCGTACCGCCGTGACCTGGACCACCTCGGTGCCTGCCGCCGAGTTCTCCTGAATGACCACCTCGTAGGTCTCGTTCTGAAACTTGAGCACAGGCACCAGGTCGGCCAGGTCACCCACCTGCAGCTCGATCAGTCCTCGAGCGCTCTTTGGCGGGTTTCCCTTGTCCCTGGCCAGCACCTCCAAGTGATAGGTCTTCCCGTTATCCTGGGACAGGGACAACGCGGCTGTGACCGCGCCTGTGCTCGGATGGATCCTGAACTTTGGCTTCTCCTGCTCGTGCAGGAACGAGTAGACGATCTCTCCGCTTGGACCCTCGTCGGCGTCCGTCGCCACCACCCGGAGAATGTTCTTCTCCGGTTGCGTGCCTATCGACACCCTCGCGCGGAAAGGGTACTCCGCGAAAACTGGAGCGTTGTCGTTCACGTCGTTCACACGGATCTCCACGGGTATCGACGTGGTCCTCGCGTCGTACTTCCCGCTGTCCGTCGCCACCACCACGAAACTGTAGACTCTCTGGCGCTCTCGATCCAACGGGCTGCAACCATCGCACAGTTTCAGAATTTGGTCACGCGAAACTTCGATTTATTGATACGGAAAAAATACAATCTGCATTAGAAATGTACGCTAAATGAATGATAGAAATCTCAGACGAATCGATGGTGTAGTTTGCTCGGAATAAATTCCCCAACCCAGAGCTTTTCTTTCGAGATCTCTGCTCTACATACGAACGATATTCAAAAAGCGTTCCCATGGATGATACTGCCCCTATAATTTCAAGTTTTAGACTGTCAATATTCCCCATCGAGGGGTGGAAAGAGGGAGATCTATGTCGGTAGTCGCAAGGGCGTAGTTTAGCCGCGCGACAGCAGTGTGTCATTTCACCGGGACACCATGTGGCATTTGAATGCATTATTTGAGAGGGGAGGAAGCTCGATATGCAAAACCAGATCCCGGTCGGTCGGGGACCGCTCTTTCTCGATCTCTGTCCGCGTCTCTTTCTCCGTCCCTTTCTCCCACCGCGGTCGCCTTCCCTCCAAACTTTCTCACACTGTTTCCACCTTCCTCCTCGCGCCCCGTGGGGGCATCCTGAACCCCCCGAGATCGGTAGCCGTCGCCGCCGCGTACGTCCGTGTCGCGTTGTTGCTGTTATTGTTGCTATTGCTGTTAGCCGTGCGGGTCTCGCGCGTTCCTCGGGCCCGACGCGGTTAGGTGTGTATCAATGTTCTCCCCTTGTTCGTTCCCAGGACCACCCGGAAGATATACCTCGATCCTTAGCCCACGAGACCAGATCTCACGAGATCGTGTCGATAACGCGCCACGACGCCGGCGACGATTCGGCACCGATAGCCTAGGCGATCTCCACCACGCACCACCTACTTTGTAAACGATGGAAAACAATTGAACGATGCACATTGTCGACCGTGACTTATGACACTCGAGTCTAAGCACAGTTATCTGCATTCGATTCCCTTCGATGATCATTATTTGGTTGCATATACAATTGCTTCCGTAAGTACTATGTTATAGGAGAAATTTTTAATTGAACGCCCGACCGATCATCGAGTGGTCGTTTGAGCTCAGACGAGGTATACGAGTTGACCTTTCATCTTATGGACTTTCGTGGCCGAATCTGACTGCCATACCGACCTGAAAATTCGGAGGTGATTTTAGCGGCCTCTTCTCATGGATGGCGGTCAGTTGAGAAACTCACTGAATTAGTGTGATAGACAGCAGCTAGTGCGTGTAAATGCATACCAATTGAAAAGTAGGAATTATTCGCGATCCGTAGACTAGGTAAAGATGTAAATAATTTACAAAAAATCAGTCTATCCGCGGTTTCTATCCGAGGTATCCTTCGGGTTCGTAAACAAGCTTCGCGAGACATCGGAGCTTCCCCCATCCCGCCGCCTAATTCGCGAGCGTTGCCGAGCACAGAGGACGGTCATCATTCCTACTTTGAAAATAAACATAGCAAGACGTGTCGAGACGTATCGGCGTTTCGTGACCGAGGTGCGTATTTCTAACCTGTTTATCCTTCCACTATTACTACTCGCGTATTACTACTTACGATCTCTTGCAATACGGTTTCGATTTAATCATTACTTAATTGTAATAATCGTTTGCGTACTTTAATGCATCGTTATTTCGTTTCTGTTACAGACTTTTATCGGAACTCGAAATTAAGAAATAGTAAGACTTGTTGGAACCTGCCAAGACGTGTCGGCGTTTCTCGACCAACGAGGTACATACGTGTTTCTAACCTTTTAATATTTCTTCATTATTATCAATTATTGTTTAATTATGATTTAATTTGTATTTCATTTCTGTTGCAGTCTCTGATTGAAATTCGACGCCATGGGAAGTTTCATTGGCGCGTAAACGACACCATAACAGATGGCAGACGAGTCGAAAAATTTTGGAGGGAGTATTGGTAACTTGTAAACAATTGTAACCAAAATTAACATCTATATCAATATTTATATATTTGTATCTCTTTATTGTGTAATTCGTTGCAAGCATGATAATAATTTTATAATCGGCCATTGTTAAGATAAATTATGAAAATCTTTGACAAACCTTTTATCCACTTCGATATAATATCGAAGTATACAGAAATGGCGTCGGTAGATATCGACGATAAATTGAAATAATTTATATTTAACTGTATTCTGATCGCGATTAAATATTTCCGAGTGTTATTTATTTAATTGATCGTTCATATTTCTTTATGAATTGTTGTAATTGCAATTTGCATATATATTTCGATGCAAGTTTAAGAAAACGTAGAAACCACGTAGTTGGAATATGCTATTAAAGCATAAATAATTAACAAACTTTAATTTTTGCAAATTTCGGAATATTTATAAAAATTACGGGATATTCTAACGTTCGAGAAAGTAAACATAATCATGCTTACAACTCTAACGATGAAACTTAGTGATATAATATTTATAAATTGAATAATTACTTGTACGTAATTATTTTCGTAGATAATATTTTATCGTTGAAATTCTCATTGATTGAGAATATTTCGCCTTCGTGGCATTGAATTTTTACGTGACAAACTATGTATACAACAGTACTAAGTAAAGCAGTATTTCTGTTGACGAACTCTTGTAAGAAGAAATAAGAAAATCGATAGGCAAAGCACAGGTGTGCTTGTTGTTGTGTTTCTTGTCTCCTGTCCCTTTATTTTCAGCTCTTTTCTTTCCAGGAAATTTGTTGGCCGCGCGCAATGCGGCCGGTAGATTCAGTGTTTGTACGTAGCAACAAGTTTGTTTCTCGGGGCAAAGTGACCCCGAGCACGTTATCGTTCGCGATGTTAGGCAAACGCGAGAATAGAAGCAGTGTTTCTTACGCGGTATTAAATTATTTCCAGAGCATCGTGGCTCTCCTTGTTTTCTCAATCGCGATAATAGAATCATTTGTTCGCCGATTTCAATCTTCGGTCGCGGTAATCTAATTTAATATTTTCCCATCAAATTAATTATTTTTTCAATTTGAAATTTAAACTCCTCGTTACCGGAATTAGAGTCAGTGCATCACCGAAGAGGACTATTAGTCGATGCACCACCAGCAAACAATGTAAGTATAAATTTATACTTTGAAACTTTTAATTAAAAATCTCTACAGTTTTGACAATAGATTCTAATTGTTTTCTTACAGTTTTCTTACAGATTCTGAACATGATCCTGGGAACGAGTAGCAGTACTCGGGGGGTATCGGGCGGTGGGCCACGAGCGAACAACGTAAGTAGAAATTTATACTTTGAAATTTGTTAATTAAAAATCTCTCCAATTTTAACAATAGATTATAATTGCTTTCTTATTCTTTACAGCAGGACCATGCAGGGGGCTTTGATGACTTCCACTGGGCAGCAGCAGCATCATTATGCAGTCATCCCAGAGGCACAAGTTCATCACTCGTAAGTTGCATGCTATTTGTGTTCCTCTGGTCCCCAACCATGTTGTAGGATGAAAGATCCGAATCAACACGGGTGACCAGTTGTATACTTAGTATTTTTGACGAGTTAAGTGACCTCGGGTATGAAAAATACCCATGAGTTGTATATTTTTAGTGCAGGCTAGGGTCTTCTTGCACTCGCGTTTTTTAATGTTATCAATAAATATTACACAATATGATTATTACACAATTTTGATCAATTATATGAAATATGTTTATTAACTTTATATGAATTATATAATTGAGTAGAATATAAATTAATATAATGTGAAAACATTATATTAATTGTACGATTCAGTAAAATATCTTACATTATTAATATAATTATTAAATATTCGTTTTATCGATTAATACATCATATGATGTATTTTATGTGCAAGAAGGCGTTTCGCGACTGGTCGATTCTCAACTCAAAGGAACATGCATGTTAATTATATTTTTAAAAAAATTTACTTTGACGACAGAATCGACCAAGGTTAATTTAATATTTTGCATAATAATTTATCAAATTTATTTCAATTTGCAAAGTAAATTATTTTATCATGAGATCTTTATTAAAGTCTTACATTTTGCACAATTAAATTTCAGTCACAAATTTTCCTTGAATAATAATATCTTTCAATATTAACGTACTCTGTTGTTGATATATTACATAGAACAAGTCGAGTCATTTTAATTGAGAATAGATACCGTTTAGTTAATTATTAATAACCAGTTTTTCTAGTCAGGATTTTCAGGATACTTTTCCGTGTTCGTTGCCTAAGTTCGTGCACATGCCCAAGTGTTATTTGCACGAGCGAAGGCAACGGGGCACGATGACTTTAGTTTGTAACATTTACAATAATAATTTATCCGTGCGGCTGACAATGCTAGTGTCTCGTGCACGATGTACTGTCCACATATGTGTGTTTGTGGTTAGGATGTGGAAGTGCATCGTTTCAAAAGTTTATTACGATTCAGATACAGAGTTTTTTTAAATTAGATTCATAACAATCGTAATAATAATATTAAACTTATAGTTATTATTTACTTGGCAATTGTTCGTATTGCATACACGTCAATGATATTGTAAAATGCATAATGAATTAGCTTTTCGATCTTATATGATCATATAGAGTATATTTTAATAAAGACTATATCAGATATATTGAAATGTTTTACATAAATAATAAAAGTACGCAATGGGCACTAGCTTTGTCAGTCCACTGCAAAAACTGGTACGTACACAATTAGAGTGTGATTGAAGTTAGTCATGTCCGGGTGTCGGAGGAACCCCGGGGAGTCCTCTCTAGTTTAGGTCGCGCCCGGACATTGTGAATGAGAACCGTGGAGTGTTTGTTTGAGAGACTGAGTTTTGCATTTTTTTAAATATAGCGTTAGGTAGGTAGGTAACTTCTTTTCTGGTATGTGTGCTTAATCTAAGTAGGTAGGGTCAGGGCAGGACTGTCCACATTAGTAATTCGGGTAGGCGCGTTTTCGCGTGGCAGTTCTGTTCCTGTAGTTACGATTTCGAGAGTAGAAATCTTGCTGATTCAAACGGTGCACTTGTGCTGTTTGTTTCGGCTTTATTTT